TTGAGGTTGATTAAATAAACATTGGAAGTTAATAAATTTGAATATATAATCCCAAAATATAATTTTCATTATAATGTTTGAAACTTTGAAAAAGCTACTAATTAATTTACAGAGCTTTTGCAGAAAGGAGTTTAATTAATACAACTTATTCATAACGTAAATGCCATGAGCTGACAAGATAATGGATCCGCTGGTTTGACGGATAAACCGAGGGGTTTATACCAACAGTTGATGGTCCTCTATTCAACCCCTGCATAGCCGTGCAAATAGCCTCAAATGTGACGAATTATTAACGGTGTCATTATGTGGCAATCCCGCCAGTTTCGAGCAACGTGTCAACTGAAAACCACACGTTCCGAAAATTGTTAATAACTCCACCTTCAATAATTAGTTCACTAGCGAAGTTATAAATTCCGATTTGAAAATTATTCCTATATATTTTGACAATCCACTACTGGCTATGTTATAATCAATTTTAGGGAATGTGCTAGCTGGCGCTTAAATAATCAACGTGAATTGGAAATGTAAATTTCGATCCGAAATTATTGATGTTACAAAATATTACAAACTTTAAATTAACTCATCATTAAAAAAAACTAATTTAGCTGTACCAATTAAAACACAATTTACCATCGGATTTTAATTAAATATATAAATTCAATGTAACAAAAAAAATCGAATATCACTTTTACATTGAAATTCTACTTAACAAATTCAATTGAGCTTACTTTTCATACCCATTCGCTGGAAAATCGCATTTCCATATGCACGAATCGCAATTTTTGAACAGCTAACTCAAAGTTTACAACGACCTGTTAGAAAGTCACGTTAAAAAAAAAGGGTGAATTTCACAGAGAAGCGGTAGTAATTTTGCGGGTAGAGAATGAGGTCGGAAACGATTTCGTCACAGCCTTTGGTATCCCGATTTTTACGTGTTCGACACCTGGCTCCACCTACTGCCGCAATACCGCAACCCGACACCTGCACATATACGTGAAAAGACCAACACACACATAGAAAAGGGTGGTTTCATTTTGGCGACCCGAAAAAAGTTTTAATTAATCCGTCCTTCACAGTTCGCTTTTCTGGTCTTAATTGGGCGAAAAATTTCAAAAAAAAATCTGATTGTAAACCGGAAATAGTCTCGAGGGAGATATTTGCCTTCCTTTAATTAGCTGCAAGAGGTAATAAAGCAGAAAAATAACCGAGCCATTAAAACGCGGGGATTAAGTACGTACTCGAGGAGGAAAAATTAAATCCTAACTGTTTAGTTTTATAACTAATAACCATAAAATTTGGTTTGAAATTCCAAACGCAGTAAACCAAAGGAATACAATGTGGACACAATTTCAGTTCCCATTTTCGTATAAAACCCCTGTTAATTTAAGGTTTCGGATTGTAAACTCACGGCGAAACTATATTTAACGGTTTTTACGAGCCAACCTTACGTTCTCAACTTTTAAGTTATTGTGCCGACAAAGACAACGTAAAAGTAAGTTCCATTGTCCTCAAAGTTAATATTTTTCTTTTACACCCACTTTTATTCTAAACGATCTTAAAATGAACCTCACTAATAATGTAGCATAATGTAACGCAAAAAAATCACTTCTATCTTCGAAACGATTAATCTCGGTCCGATTTCACTTAAAGATTGAAATGCATTCAATTTAATCGCATTTCGTGGTCTGAAATGTCGAGCGCACGAGTTTAGGTTCAAATCCTGCGATCTATAACTAACGGATTAGGAAATATCGATAACGTTTCACCAAAATTCTATTAGTTGAGGTTCATTGTGCGACATTACGTTTCAATGGAACTTACCTGAGATCTTTTAAAACTTAAGCAAGCTTAATAATCGTATCTCACAAAGTAATTGAGATATTATAATGAGATAAAAACTATTTTAAAGAAAATTTTATAAGTAAGATAAACGATTTCTAATAATAAATCTCGCGATTGTAATGTTTTTAACACAGTATTGCAAAATTAACAGATTTTGAGATATCTCAATAACTAATTGAGATATTGTAATGAAATAAAAGCTGTTTTAAAGGGAATTTAATCTATTTTTAGTTTGCCATAACTTATTTCTTAATTCCCATAAATCTGGTTATTGTAATACTTTGATCACAAATTTGCACGTTTAGGTTATTTGAGAAATCGTATCTCAATAACTAATTGAGATATCATAATGAAATAGAAACAGTTTTAAAGGGAATTTGATCTACTATTAGTATGCCTTAAATTATTTCTTAGTTCTCATAAATCTCGTTGTTGTAATGATTTGATCACAAAATTGCAGATTTGGCGCTTATTGAGGTTATACTGAATATGAGAGATATTTAAAAAATCGTATCTTAATAACTAATTGAGATATCACAATGAAATAACAACCATTTTAAAGAAAATTTAATCTTTTTTAGTGTGCATTAAATTATTTCTTAATTCCCATAAATCTCGTTGTTGTAACGATTTGATCACAAATTGACAGTTATTGAGGTTGTATTGAAAATGAGGAGTATTTAAAAAATCTTATTTCAATAACGAATTGAGATATCTGAATGAAATAAGAGCCGTTTTAAAGGGAATTTAATCTAATATTAGTATGCCTTAAATTATTTCTTAGTTCTCATAAATCTCATTGTTGTAACGATTTGATCATAATATTGCACATTGGACGCTTATTGAGGTTATACCGAAAATGAGAGATATTTAAAAAATCGTATCTCAATAACTAATTGAGATATCATAATGAAATAACAACCATTTTAAAGAAAATTTAATCTATTTTTAGTGTGCCTTAAATTATTTCTTAATTCCCATAAACCTCGTTGTTGTAGTGCTTTGACAGTTATTGAGGTTGTGTTGAAAATGAGGAATATTTAAGAAATCGTATCTCAATAACTAATTGAGATATCGTAATGAAATAAAAATCGTTTTAAAGGGAATTTAATCTACTATTAGTATGCCTTAAATTATTTCTTAGTTCTCATAAATCTCGTTGTTGTAATGATTTGATCACAAAATTGCGCTTATTGAGATTATACTGAATATGAGAGATATTTAAAAAAGCGTATCTTACTAACTAATTGAGACATCTTAATGAAATAATAACCATTTTAAAGAAAATTTAATCTATTTTTAGTGTGCCTTAAATTATTTCTTAATTCCCATAAACCTCGTTGTTGTAGTGCTTTGACAGTTATTGAGGTTGTGTTGGAAATGAGGAATATTTAAGAAATCGTATCTCAATAACTAATTGAGATATCATAATGAAATAAAAATCGTTTTAAAGGGAATTTAATCTACTATTAGTATGCCGTAAATTATTTCTTAGTTTTCATAAATCTCGTTGTTGTAATGATTTGATCACAAAATTGCGCTTATTGAGGTTATACTGAATATGAGAGATATTTAAAAAAGCGTATCTTACTAACTAATTGAGACATCATAATGAAATAACAACCATTTTAAAGAAAATGTTATCTATTTTTAGTGTGCCTTAAATTATTTCTTAATTCCCATAAGTCTCGTTATTGTAATGCTTCGACACTTATTGAGGTTGTATTGAAAATGAGGGGTATATAAAAAATCGTATCTCAATAACTAATTGAGATATCATAATATAATGAAATAAAAGTTTTAAAGGGAATTTAATCTATTTTTAGTGCACCTAAAATTATTTCTTAGTTTGCATAAATCTCGCAGTTGTAACTTTTTGTTTATTTGGATCTTATTGATTCTAAAATTAATTAAATTCGTAAAAATTGAGCTCTTGAATACAACATTGCAAAGTATTAATAAGAAACGTAGTTATTAAAAAAGATAAATTTTTTAATTTTTTCTAATAGACGTTTAAAAATTTTCTCATTTCAGCTTGCCGATGCATAACGGGTATATAGCGATATAATTTTTTCACGACAACTCGTCAACGTAAAGCTTTCAGACCACCCTCTGTGGAACGTGACGTCAAGAAATTCTCCAGCTGAACACGAGAAGGTAATTTGGTTTTTAGCGCTTTTATTCATCGGGTTTATGAACCCGTTGCCGTTCAATGCCTTCTCCCTCTTTATATTAAACCTTGTCACTTCTGACAGGATTATTTTGGAGCGTCATAAAAACGGATAATCGTAGGAAAATAAAACGGAAATTATGCGCGCTCGAAATCCGTCATAAATGAAAGGGATAGTATGATGGCAATTTCCAGAGGATTTCGCGCGGTAGTCGGTCGACGAAAACATCTAGTTCTCGTAAAATTGACCATAAATCTCTAAGTCTTTAATGGTGGAGGATCGAGTATCCCATCTTCGCATAAATTTTTACTGCCATGTATCGAAAAATCATCTGGAAATTCTTCAAAATAAATTTTTTATTCATTAAATATGTAATTAATTATTAATTTGACATGGTACAAATTTCGTAAGCTTGTCTAGCAAATTTCGGGTATCAAAGGCAATAGCGATCGTGGGTTGCTCTCGTTCTATGATAGATTACAGCACACAAACACGTGATAATTCATGATGTTCGATAATGATTAATTAAATGTGTCTATACAGTGTTCCTTCTCTCTCGCCACTTAACCCTTATATAATTAATACACTAATTAATAATCCGCTTTAGATGGAATTCCTATTCGATCGCAACGAGAAATCATTCAAAATAGGCGTCAATGGTTTCCGGAATTCGGGGTTTGCTCGAATCCCACTTGAACTTATAACTCAAAAGTTAATACATACTCCACGGGTCGTTATATGCGGAAATGATCCATATATTTTAGGAAGTAATCTTATGCCAGTAGTAATTTGTAACTGCATGCGGGACGGAAGCCACATTTCTAGTAAATTGGTCGTTAAATCAGCCAATGCAATCGAACCTAAAGCATTGAAGGGTCAGCAAATTGCACATTAATTTTCTACTGATACACCCTCACCATAAAACGAGTTTATGTTACTTTGAAAACTTTCAAAATATATTCGAGTTATCGTTTGCGTTATATTTACCTGCCCTGTTCGGTCATTGCTATTGAGCATCGCACGTGCCGTTGTCCAAAGAACTTTCCATCCGACTCGATCCGAATCGGAATGTGCAGAAAACGTTCTTCATGTCAAAACTTGCCGGTGTGGCGAAAAAATCGCCAAAGTACCAGTACAGCGAGGGCGGCAGAAACGTGTCAGAAATCCGCAATAACCTGTTAACCCGGCGCTCTCGCACCCTCCTCCTCCACCTCTCTTGCCGCCGCGCACTTTCCCTCACACACACTCTGCCACCACTGACGAGAAGACTGCGACGTCTCGCGAAGACATCACTTCGGCGAAGAAAAACCGTTTAATAAAATTTTGATTTAGAAGAAAAAAATATAAGACAGTGAATAAATTTATGTATTCATGAACGTTGCAATTATACACGGGTAAGGGGGCGCGGGTCCGGCAAGGCAGCGACCCTGGCAGCTGTCTGGTTTCCACTGCGGCGGCGGCGGCGGCGGCTGGCGTCGCGGCGCGCACGCTCCAGCCTCCAGCAGCAGCTCTATCTGTGCGCCCGGACTGGAGATAAAGTCCGGGCTGACGTCCGCAGCGCCGCTACGTACTACTCACCTACTCACTCACTCCTACTTCTTCTTCGTCTGTACCGTTCGACTCGCTTACGCACCCCAACTTTGACGCCGCACCGTCACTATCCGCTTCAACAAACGACTACCGCAATCATTGAAAAAATTACCTATAAAGAAAAAAAAATTACTTAAACTACACATGATTTTTATAAAAAAATGAAAGAGTAAGAAAATAACTGAATAAACACTGTCAAAACAAGAATGAAGCTGGGCAGAAAAGAGGAAATTTGGAAACAGACTAGTAACAGATGAAAAAGACTGAATAGAGAGTGGAAAGGTGAAAAACAGAGAGAGCAGAAAGAAAAAAAAGTTAGAACGTGACAGAATAGATAATAGAAAGAGAAGGCCAGAAGGGAGGAAGACTGGAAAAAAGCTGTAAAAGTAAGATGGGGACTAGACGAAGACGTGAAAGACTAAAAAGAGATTGGTAATGGAAGAAAGGGACTGAGAAGGGAGCAAAAAGAGAAAAAAGAAATTGGGAAGAGAAATGTACAGTTGAAAAAAGACTGCTAATAAGAGAAAGAGGCTCAAGAAAGATTGATAAGAGAAAAAAGTATTTCTTTCTCTAAACTTCTTACAAATTCTTGATGTTTGAAATAAATAATTTCAGGTAAGATTCCCAACAAGTTCTAGTGATCTAAAAATTTAAATTCAAAGGTGTAAATTGGTTAGCCTCTTATACACTCCCTTATTTTTTGTTTCAACAACCCCAAATCGTACATATTTCAACATTATTTAATAACCATTCTACCCTCCCATAAGGAAGAGTAAAAAAAATGAGTTATTCAGTAGGTGCGTATGGAAGCGTAGAAAGGCAAACGGTAGTCTGGGGAGAAATCGATCGCAAATGGTCGGCAACAGGTGTCGCGCCATTTTTAGTTTCCTGCTTTCCGCACAATTTATTAACCGTGGGGGGGGGTGAAATTCTAGCGCTCTTTCCGCGCGTGGTAAAAGAATAGAAAGAGTACTGACGCAACGTCGTTCAAGCGCGATATTTTTGGATAGTTTTTACGAGTGGTTATAAAAACGGCGAAACCCCTGACGTTTATAACTGGGACGTCGTTACGGCTCTCCGCTATCTTTCCTTTTTTATTTACAACTTTCCCTTGTTGTGTCGCATTGCGGAGTTAAGGGGCCATTTTTTACCTCTTTGTGCTGCATCTCCTTTTCCCCTGAGGCTACATCATATAGTGTATACTGGACTCTTTTTTAATAGGAAATATTTTTTACTCCGAAACTTTTTGTGTGGTACAAACTTTTGTGACAACGTATGATATGATTACTGAGATATCTGTTATATTTCCCTTCTATTTATCATTTTTTAATATTACATAGTGGTTTTATTATGCAAACGCAGATTTTTTTTGTGCCGAGTTCATCACGTAAAAGCTTTTTCTTTCCAATCCAATATTAAACTATCACGATGTGTTAAATTACAACTTAAATTATACGATTAAAAGTTAAACCTTCATCAATTTACCCGCAGCAGTGAAAAGAAAATAGATCTTGAAATCTAGTTCAAAATAAAAGCAGTAAAAACATAGCTTATTCGAAATCGAAACGTTCGGATCGCTTTCGATCCTTCACTTCCGACGACTTGACTTATTTCCAACCATCAATCGATACCGATCTTAATGCAACTTTTACCCACGTATCCAATTACTTTTTCCGCGCCACTCTTTTCCACAGATCGTAGTGATGTCGGTACGAATCGGATACACAATAAATATCCGCAGGGTTCTTGCCAAAACCTTGTGTTCGGATAAGCCCAGGTCTGTCTGGGAGAGGATCCGCTCAGTTATTTATGAGTCATCCACTGCATTCGATCATCTCAGTTTATATGTGTGCAGCCTTTACACGTGGGATTCGTACCGGGTCCGTTGCCACCCCCGCTTCGACCTCGAACCGTAACAGCTTTTCATGTTGCACAAACGTCGACGAACATGGGATCCAACAGGTGTTGTGACAAATACACACCCAAGTCCTCGCGTGCGCTCTTGTAAAAACGTCAAAAAACGAACGCGAAATCGAAATCCCAGCAAAAGGCGAGTTCCGGAACCTTGAGTTTTGCAAGCTTACAAGGAGCTTACTTTAGTGTTGTAAACTGTCGTAAACATCAAATTTCCACGAAGAATTTTTCCGTCGGAACATACTTTAATTTCCTTTTCCTAGAAACATAAAAATCGATGTTGAATTAAGTACGTAAGTAAGTTTTTTTTAAATCAATTTTGCATTTCTTATTTTACAAAAAAATTAAAAAATTTTATCTTAAGAATAAATTGAGATATTGTGATGAAATAAGAAACATATTAAAGATTTAGTTTGCCATAAATAATTTCTTATTCCCTATAAATCTCGTTGTTATGATTTTTTAAATACAACTCTACAACTTTATCTATTAAAAAAAAAGATGTATGTTTAGAAAACTGTATCTCAAGAATGAATTGAGATATTATGTTGAAATAAGAAACATTTTAAAGGATATCTTATAAAGATTTAATGTGCCATAAATAATTTCTTATTCCCCATAAATCTCGTTGTTATGATTTTTTAAACACAACTCTGCAACTTTATCTATTAAAAAAACGATGTATGTTTAGAAAAGTGTATCTCAACAACGAATTGAGATATGACGATGAAATAAGAAACATTTTAAAGGAAATTTAATGAAGAATTAGTGTGCCATAAATAATTTCTTGTTTTCCATAATCTTCGCTGTTATGGATTTTTTAACCCAACTCTGTTTGTGCATGTTTACTTACCAAAAAAATGAACGTTTAGAGAACAATACCTCAAGAACGAATTAAGATATGATGATGAAATGAGAAACATTTTAAAGGAGATTTAATTAAGATTTAATGTGCCATAAATAATTTCTTATTCTCTATAAATCTCGTTGTTATGATTTTTTAAACCTAACCTTGCAACTTTATCTATTAAAAAAAATGTTAGTTTGGAAAGCTGTATCTCAAGAACAAATTGAGATATTATGATGAAATAAGAAACATTTTAAAGGAGATTTAATTAAGATTTAGTGTGCCGTAAATAATTTCTTGTTTTCCATAAACATCGTTGTTATGAATTTTTTAACCCAACTCTGCACCTTTACTTATCAAAAACATTGAAAATTTAGACAACTGTATCTCAAGAACGAATTGAGATATGATGATGAAATAAAAAACATTTTAAAGGATATTTTATAAAGATTGAATGTGCCATAAATAATTTCTTATTCCCCATAAATCTCGTTGTTATGATTTATTAAACACAACCCTACAACTTTTCTTGTTAAAAAAAAGATGTAAGATTAGAAAACTGTATCTCAAGAACAAATTGAGATATTATAATGAAATAAGAAACATTTTAAAGGAGATTTAATAAAGATTTAGTGTACCATAAATAAATTTTCCATAAACCTCTTTATTATGATTTTTTAAACTAAACTCTAAATTTTCTTCTTATTATAATCTTTTTATTTTTTTATGGCGTTCTATATGATAGGAAAAAAGAGATATTAAATAGTATTAAAATATTTACGATTTGGGGTTGAATAAAAAATAAGAGGGTCTTTTATTGGAAACGAATAATTCACGTTCATAAAAAAAAGTATTAAAAAAAGATGTGGCAGTTTGTATCCACGTCAATGAGTTAAATATAAATCTGAGTTTGAGTTTATACATAATTTACAACGTTCCAAAAACTTTAAATCGAACAACTGCGCACAAACTATATATCCTGAGGATATAATAAGGATGTGGTGCACGTACCGTTCGAACGGACGCCACCTAAATATAGCCATATATATGATTTTTCTTTTATTTCCAAGCTCACCATTGCATACACATCCTCGTTGTTTTAACTTTATGAAAAACATTGTCGCCAAACTAATCCATAAAGGGTTTCGTAAAAACATCACATACATCCCTATCTATACGGCGACCTTTTTTTTTGAGACAAAAAAAAGTTCAGAGGCAAGTTTCTGGAATCAATTAAGCGCCCGTCTGAAATTGCCGGCGCGTAATGAGGGTGCGTTATTTTTAGAGCCGCTGCCGACGTCGCTTTTGTTTCCGCTGCGATCAACGAAAAGGGCCTCCCCAAAAGGGAACCAAAGCGAGTGTTGCGGTATGGACGCTATTTTGCTAATTAAAAAGGCAAAATGCGATAACGTTTCCAAAGCCACACTCTCGCCTCTTTTCCTCTCACTCTCTCCTATTAGACACGTCGCTCTACGTTCCTGCTAATTAATTGTACTTAATTTCGAGCAATTACATTAGCGTACACTGCTAGGAACGGGAACGTAGCGCGATGTCCAACAATGATGATGATGACGATAATGTCTATTAGCGAGCTGGTAACACGATACTCGTGTGATAAACATTACCGCACCTTTATTAATCTCTGTCAGAACAATTACTGTCACCACGGGAGTGTTCACAAAAAAGATGTTGTTTTTTGAAATAGCTAAAATTAGATTTGATTTTTGGTGGATGCGCCGGATTTTTTTTTTTTAAGGATAGGGATTAAAATAAAAACCCAACGTAATTTGTTGCATCTAATCATTTCTTTTTATTGTAGTATTAAGTTTGTTAAATATATATGTACAACGTAGAAACGTGATGTCTACACAAGAATTTAAATAGATTTTCAAAGTTTTTTTAAGGCCTCTATTGGCTGGGACATTCAAGGAGTTGTAAAATAAATTATTTACAAAAAAAAAGAAAATATTTATATAATAATATATTAAACTATCTATTAAACTATATTGTTTTGAAAAATAAAATTGTACTTAAAGTAACACCCACTTTCTTCATTTCATCCGAAATTATTATCGTTGTTGTTGGTTGTTGCTTCGATAGGAATTAAGATAAAGAAGCTCGAAATGATTCACTAATACTGGGGGGAGGGAAGAGATGAAAACGTAAATGAGGCGAAACAAAAATTCGATTGGGTAATAATAATAATAATAAATTTTAAGTATAACATAAAGAAAAACCATTAACAAAATAACAAAAATTCTTCTTAGTTTTCCTAACAATAAGATAATAATAGTCACCTAAAAATTAATTCATCTCAACTCATTAGTTAATTAAATAAAACGAAGAAAATCGAAGGGATTTACTGAATTAAAATTCAAAAAAAAAAGAGGAAACGAAAAACGTGCTTTAAGGAAATTGGTTCAAAAATTGATTATAAGACTAGTACATCTATATTGCAATATCATACGACGTAAGGCATAATATTAATAGTAATTAAAATTGTGCTACCAGTGGGTGTGAAAACGAATGTACAAAAACGAAAAAAAAAAAACTTGAACACGAAACGAAGTAAAACGCGTTTACAGATGTTGAAACATTTCTTTGCTTAAATTTAGATCATAATACAATTTTAAATTTAATAATAATGTTATGAAACATACCTAATCCTTAAATATATTATTTAAATATTTAAGGATTTTTATTAATAAATTTTAAATGTACACGAAAATATGATTTGTATAATTTGACATAAATAATTCTAGATATTAGAACTAATTAGAAGTAAAACTAGAAGCATTCGAGTTACGCCGTCTTGAAAGACGTATGGCTAAACCCAAATGTTTCTAGTTCTAGAGTTAATTCTAGTTTTACACTAGCACTGTTACTACAACTAACACTATATCTAGAACTAGAATCATTCGGGTTTAGCCGTCTTTAGAGACGTGCGGCTAAACTCGAATGTTTCTAGTTCTAGGTCTAGTGTTAGTTCTAGTTTTACACTAGCACTGTTACTAGAACTAACACTATATCTAGAATCATTCGGATTTAGCCGAAAGTCTCTCAAGACGGCTAAATCCGAATGATTCTAGTTCTAGTGTTAGTTCTAATGATAGTACAAGTGTTAATTCTAACAATTAAAACTAACACCAGCACTATCTGTCACCTAATTAGACCTAAAACTAGAAGCACTCGGGTTTAGCCGTCTTTTTAGACGTATAGCTAAACTCGAATATTTCTACTTCTAGATGTAATGTTTTTCTAGTAATGATACTAGTGTTAGTTCTAGTTTTAGTGAAAGCCTTCTAATACTTATAATTATTGAGTAATTACATAAAAACAATGGTTATTTTAAAAACATTATTTCTGTGTACAATTAGTGTAAATTCCAGTATTTATAATAAATAATAATATTTAAAAGAAATTATTCTCAAACATTTTAGCTGTAGTATTTACTAAAATTAAGCAAAGAAAATTTTAGTCACCTGTATGATAAAATTTAAAAAATTGGGAATAATAGATATAAAAAAATCTAACTGAGGACAATAAACGCAAAGAAAAAAACTGATAAATAACATCAGTAATTCTTTTTTCATCTTTTTTTTAATGTTTAAGCAATAAACATAAATACGTCTTATTTACATTTTTTTTCTTTTCAAGATTCGTTATCTTCTGAATTTTAATCTTATTATGAATGGCACCGTATGATTCCAATTTATAATTTTTTTACACACTCGGTATATGAAAATATATAACTTGACACCTAGATATTACTAAAGTTGCGACAAATGATTTTTTTTTTGTTAATTATTTTTAATCGGCAATATAAGAAGACGCAAATTTATCTTAATCTGTTGTGATATGTGATTATTATAAAAATTAATTAATTTCATTTCATTTCTTGTCGCAACTAAATTGCTTTCTGGCTAAAATTGGGGGATGAAAAGAATATTTTTTTTAAAAAACGTTCTGAGCAAATTAATTAATAAACATCGTTTTGAATTCGTGGACTTTTTAATAAAAAATTTTTTGTTCAATTAGAGACCAAACAACAGGCACTTTGGTCGAAAAATTTGTTTTAAAAAATTACAGTCAGAAACGTCTCTCCTATTTAAATCTTTTTTTATCTTAATAATGTGATGAAAATTTTTAATTCAATACCGAATGAGAATTTTATTTCGAATTCCTATTTATCTCATAAAAAAAATTAAACAAAGAAATTGTAAACCTTTAACAACACAATAAACAAAAAACCCTTTGTAGACGTTCATATATCGATATTTATATTTAAAAAAAATTTTTTTTTCGGTTCATAATATTATTTTTTTTTTACTTTCTTTTGTACATGAGCGAACTAATAACGAGCGATTCTTTTAAAGTACAGATCAGACCTGATAAAGATCCATCAAACCTTCACCCATATCCATACTGTAATTGTACTCTGAATTTAAAAGTGGTTCCAATGATATTAACGATGACTCGCTGAATATAGGATCCAAAAAATCTGAAACAAAAAAATTTTAAACTCAAGATATTATTATTTATATTAACTATTAATTAGAAACAATTTATTAAAACCACATCCTAATCAATTATTATGATTATTATAACCACAATTTATCAATAAAATATTTTATTTTTAAACTATTAAAAGAACTAATAACATTAATAAGCATATACAGACACAAATGTTTTTTTTTTATTAATGAAGTATTTACATTGGTTCTGTTGAAGGTTAGAGTGGAGGCTCGTCAATGAGCTGAATCCCATGGTGCTGTGGCCATGATTGTTGCAAGAGCACCCACAAAATTCAGCTCACCGCACAAACCTAAAAGCGTGGTTTAGTTAACAAAAAATCCAAGCGGGTTAAACATAGATGTTGAAATTAAAAATGCACGCACAGTTAAAAGCTTATTATAGCATAGAAATCAATCATGCACCATATAAAAAATTTATTTAAACTTAAAGCTTAACCCCTTACACCGCTAAATATTAACAAAAAAAATTGTTACAAATTGCTGGACAAAACGTCATGTTGTGTGTTTGGAAAAAATTGACCACAAGGTTCTTATTCTTGATATTATTGATGGTTGTAAGACTATCTGGTACAATTCGTGATAATGTACTCAAAGATATGAGAGGCTAGTTTTTCAGATGGATACAAACACCTTTTATGGTAAAAATATAGTTACAATGAGTGTCTTGAAAATGAATAATGTAAACTTTTAGAGACATATATCAAGTGGAACGCTGAAAATGATCGACACCTGCACTATTTCAACACATTAAATATGTGGAAGACCATTACAACCACAATTAGATGTGAAAAAAGGGAAATATACATTTGCAGAAATTCCAGCTTAGAAATTTCGTGAGGATAACCCAAATCTTATACCGAAATGGAGAAATCGATAACATAACGAAACCGGATTGTTCTGGTAAAACTTCTTCTTGGTGCAAATTCCTCAGGAGATATGAAATTAAAACTTATGTTTGTTTAATTCTCTACCAACCAATATCTAACCAATCTACCAATAAAGAAAGCTGATATATGATAAAAGATAATCTGACAATAAGTTAATTTTCACTTAAAGCTCTATAAGTACTGGATAACGTCATATAACCCTAGTCATATAGGTTAGTTTTACTTAAAAATGTCAATCGTCCCAAGAAACTGTTGGGTAAGGTTAGTTCTATTTACAAATGTCAATTATACAGTGAAGGAATGTTCGGTGAAAAAATATTAGAGGGAGAAGTATGTAGTGTTGTGATCGTTCCGAGATTTTATTCGTTCTTCCTGTTAGTTCCCTTTGGAAAGGGTGTCGCCAAGATCTCACCTGGCATCTTCAGTGCGTTGTCGTAGTCTCCTGGTATCTTTAGTTTGCCCACAGGAGATTACGACAACGATGCCAGGTGAAATCTTGGCGACACGTCTGCCCCTTCCCAAAAAGAACCAACAGGAACACCGGATGAAATTTTGGCTTCTTCAGTGCGTTGTATGTATATTTATACACATTTATTGTAATAAGAAAAAACGGGAAATAAGGGGTTAATTTAAAGCTTAATTAACTTATGACGATTTAAAGACTGAACAGTTGATTTTTAAAACACAAAACTAAAAGAAAATTAAAAAATCAAAATTTTTTATTGTAATCAATCTTGATTTGGTTTATTTTTCTAAAAATCCTGATCATTTTTCCGTTGAGTTTTATATTCATCAATTTCAAAAATGTTATTAGTTCTAAACATTTACCTTATCGTCCCAATTGAAGTGGTGATTTTTTGCATACTCAAAGTTAGAACTCTGCCTGTGATGTGACTTACATATAAAAAACACAAGTCACAGACAGAGTCCCACTATGAATAATGCTATGATGTATTTGTTGTTTAGTAATATCGTTTAAAAATAGATAAGATCTTTTTAAATATTAAACTGTAAATAATTGGTTAAAAATGATTTTATGTTTTAAACACTTTTGCTGATTCGAATTAAACTTTTCTAGGAAACTAAAATTGTTATGAGTTTCATCATTTCTTTTCACAATCTTTTCTCAATCTCAATTAGAACATTCGGTGGCATAAATGACCTTCGTTTTAACCTTGTTTTTTCTTAAAATGTTTCATAAAAAGCGTTACAAAATAAGAATTGATTAAATTATAATTTTTTAAAGTTGTTTTTTACCTTCTAAAACATGCCATTTCAAGATATCTATGTCAAAGTGACATTTAAAAAGTCACAAATAAATTCATTCTTTTCTTAATCAATTTTAGGGAAATTTGAATCACATACTGGCTCCTCCTGCATGTATTGGATGGTGTTATTCATGTTGTTTTAAAGAAAATGTAATATTAATGGTAATATAAACATAACCTAATTTTACAATCTACCTGTTTTTTTATCTTTAAAAAGTTATCATACCCTATATTTTTTTAATCTCATCTAAAGATAATCTTTTTTATTTAAATTGAGATAGAAATTCTATCTTAATATACGAAATAAACATGAAAAAATAAAACTGATTTTCAAATTAGGAAGAATATGACATTTTATGTCAAAGTGACATTTAAAAATTAATTTATTGTAACTAACTTCACTTCACAGGTGTCAAAGTCATTCCTAACCTCAATTAAATTTATTTGATTCATTATCACTAGAACTAATTAGAATTAGAACTAGAAGCATTCGAGTTTAACCGTCTTGAAAGACGTATGGCTAAACCCGTCCGTTTCTAGTTCTAGGTCTAGTGTTCGTTTGACACTAGCACTGTTACTAGAACTAACACTATATCTAGAACTAGAATCATTCGGGTTTAGCCGTCTTTAAAGACGCATGGTTAAATTCGAATGTCTTCTAGTTCTAATGTTGGTTCTAGTTTTACACTAACACTGTCACTAGAACTAACACTAGACCTACAAACATTCGGATTTAGCCGTCTTTAGAGACGGGTAGTTAAACCAGAATGTTTCTAGTTCTAGATCTAATGTTAGTTGTAATGACAGTGCGTCTCTAAAGACGGCTAAACTCGAACGATTCTAGTTCTCGATATAGTGTTAGTTCTAGTTTTACACTAGCAGTGTTACTAGAACTAACACTATATCGAGAACTAGAATCGTTCGAGTTTAGCCGTCTTTAGAGACGCCCGGCTAAACTGGAACGATTCTAGTTCTAGATATAGTGTTAGTTCTAGTAACAGTGCTACTAGTTCTAGGCCTAACGTTAGTTCCAGTGACAGTGCTAGTGTTAGTTCTAGTTATCAATCAGCGCCAGGTTGTTGTATATTTTTATTGATCTAATACTAGACCTAAAACTACAAACATTCGGGTTTAGCCGTCGTGAAAGACGTGCGGCTAAATCCGAATGTTTTTAGTTCTAGGTCTAGTGTTGGTTCTAGTGGCAGTACTAGTGTTAGTTCTAGTTGTTAATTAGGGCCAAGGTGTTGCATATTTTTTTTGAACTAAAACTAGAACTAACTCTAGACCTAGAACTAGAAATCTTCTGAAAACTAGTTGTAACAGGCCTAACGTTAGTTCCAGTGACAGTGCTAGTGTTAGTTCTAGTTATTAATCAGCGCCACGTTGTTGCATATTTTTATTGAACTAACACTAGACCTAGAAACATTCGGGTTTCATGAAAAGCGTTTCAAAATAAGAATTGATAAAATTATAATTTTTTTAAGTTTTTTAGTCCATATGTCAAAATGACATTTAAAAAGTCATATCGATTAACGTCACAAATGTCAAATTCATTCTTTTCTCAATCAATTTTAACGAAATTTGCATCACATACTGGCTCGTCCTGCATATATCGGATATTAGTGTTATTAATGTTGTTAAAATGTAATATTAATGGTAATATAAACATAACCTAATTTTACAATCTACCTGTTTTATCTTTAAAAAGTTGTCATACCCTATACTTTTTTTTAATCTCATCTAAACATAACCTTTTTGCGTTAATTTGAGATATAAATTCTATCTTAATATACAAAATAATCATTAAAAAATAAAATTGTTTGTCAAATTAAGTGACATTTAAAAATTAATTTATTTAAATCTGAACGCACCCCAACGTGGAAGATATTGTAACTAACTTCACAACTGTCAAAGTCATTCTTAACCTCAATTAAATTTATTTATATTATTTATTTAATCCTCATTATTTAAACAATTTATTTTTTAATAAACGTTTGTTTTTAAAATGTTATTTTATTTTTCTACCGTAATTTTGTAACTTTTGAATTAGAATGTTTTAACCTCACAATTTGTTTCGTTTTTTTCTTATAAATTAGATAATAAAGAAAATAATAATAAAAAAAAGAATTTTACAGACCTGGAGAGTCCAGCTCTTCCGTTTTAAATGGCAACTTATCCAATCCATAAAAACTTTCGTTCATGATAGAAACAACTTGCTCTGATTCCTGGTCGAGGATATTCGTTAAGGGAGAAGTGTTCATGGAATTAACAAAGTTCAAAAGGCTATCCGATGACTTATGTGGTTGCTTAACTGTCGTTACAATCGGAGGTGTACTTTCCATCACTGGATCTCTTAAATCCCGTACAAAAGATAATTTTCTGCAAGTCTAAAAATTTGAGTTATAAAATAAAGTTGTATAACAAATTCTTTGATTTACCTGTGATGATATAGGTTTATGATCAGTTAATGGACTGTCAAATTGAGGCACAGGAGGAGTAGTAAGTCTTTCAGGACTACTAGGAAAATCTTTAAGTAAAACGTCCATAACAGGTATATTTTTATGACTTTTAGGTGGCGAAACATGCTCAGGGCACAAAAATACTTCAATCTCTTCTTTCGTTTCACTTTTAAGATACATAGTACTACCTTCGCCGTTCGGTTGCTTAGGTACTTGTAGTTTAGTATTAGGAGGTGCTTTTATGGCCATCACGGTTTTATTTTTATAATCAGGTATCGATCTTAAATCATGATAAGTAATATACCCATGTTTGCTACTATTTAAACTTTGCAAATCATTAGTAGCAATATTAATCAGTTCATTTAAGGTGTTTTCTTGATCCTCCAACGATTTCAATTCGTTTCGAAGAGCCGTTAATTTATACCCGCTCAAATTCCCACCTTTCCATTGAATATTATTTTTTGATTTCTTCTCTAAAATTCCAATACCCTCTAAAACGTTGGTGATATCATAAATACGTCGCTTTGGAACATCCATATCTTGGGATGCTTTGTTTAAATCAACAACACCACTTGGTGATTTTTCTAGTAATGCTGTGAATTTTTTCGTTAATAGACCAAGTGAAGTGTCGTATCTGGTATTTTTTTTCGTTGGTGAGGCTCTTTTTGGTTTTTTAGGTTGTGGGGGTTTAAATTCTTGTTTAATTGGTACAATGATGTGTTGCGAATCCATGTTAAGTTTTCTTTTAACAGCCGGGGGTTGTGTAGGAGTTCCAGAAGTGAGTTGGTTTTGCGGTGTGGCCCCATAACCGTGATCCAATAAATGCGGACTCGGCGTTAATTCGGTTTTAATAGTCATCATATCGGGAGTTGAGGACCCCCTGGGGCTTTCCAACACTTGCTTACCACGGCGACGCATTTCAAAGGATTTTTTTTTATTTCTTGGAGAAGTGGAAGGTTTTTTCTTCCGTTTAGAAATAAAAAGGAGCGATTTCTTCTTTTTATTTGTTTTAATGATCCATTCTTAGAGGTTGGGTTGGGGTTTTTTTGGATTCTCTAAAGAAAAAGTGATTTTATTATGTTTGCAATAAGTGGAATTAAAAATAAAAATGAATCGAAAAAAGTGAACATCGAAAAAAGTGAGAATCGAAAAAAAATGAAACACTGAAACAAAAAACGTGTTTTTAAAGATGAGGTTAAAATAAATAAATAAAGCTTTTTTTTTCTTTAATGATATAAACATTTTTTTTCGGGGATTGTTTACTTTAAAGAATTTGTGTGGATAGATAAAAAAATAACCGGTATAAATACAATAACCACCCTCCTTTTTTCTATGAAGAAAAGATTAACCGCCATGTAAAAGAGGAAAAATACCGTTAAAATAAAACGTATTTGATACTTACCGAGGACAAAGGAAAAACGAGAAACGTTGGGGATACTCGTAATAATAATTGAACTTTAAAAACTGAACCGTTAACACGCCTGAAAAACGCTACATGTTCCGGAATATCGAGAAAATGGTCGCCAAGCCACTTAATACTGGCTGCCGTGTACTGTTCGTAAAAACCGACCTCTGACACGCGAACGAATTAACCTATTCGCGATTAAAAAACGATTCTAGATTAACGAAACTATTCCCTTTCACATGACGTCAATTTTATTATTCTACCTAATCTATTAAGCCCGGAAAAAATTATTGAAAATTTCGTTGAGTCGAACGGTTACGGCGTGTGTGCACTTCGTAGGGAATAAGTTACAAAACATCTGCCATCTGTACCCGGCACTTGGCGCGAAGCTCTACGCATGCGCTCATAGTTTCCTTACAGATGATCCATGAATTTTTTTACATCCACACCAAAATTCAAAAATTCCCTCCCATTCAAATCGTTTTCTCACTTTCAAAATCACCTAAAACCTCAAATCGCCTTATTAAATTCATCATTACTGATTTATTAACATTCATACATCAAAAGCTTCATGATTTTTATTGTTTTGAAACAATCGAAACAAATGAACGGTCGAGTTGGCCATTTAAATGTCCTAACCTTCGTGACAGGAGAGAGATAACAGATGTAAACAAACATGGTAGACGCAGATGGTGTAGCGCCGTTGAACGAACTCCGGGGCACCTTTTCTTATGTCATCGTTAAAAAGAACGTGGCGTTAAAAAAAAAACTTTAAGGGGAAGGAAAAAACGGCTCAAAGCCCAAGCTTTAACTTTTTTGGTTATTGCCGGATTTATTTTTATTTGGCAAATAGATGTGGGAAAACGGAGTTGTTATTTACACCGGAAATGATATAACTGTATTTAAGAAAATCTAAAAATAATTTTTCAAAAATTAATATTAAAAGGTCATCTTTTAGAATATGAAGTAACGCCATAGTGGTCAAATTTGTTCAGTCAGGTTGATGCAGTGGAAGTCTGCTTCAGCGATTCTGAAACCGTATTAGTTAAAATGAAGTCAAAAAAGCGAAGAAATAAAAAATAATAAAGAGAAAGAAAGAGTTAATATTAAGGAAGTTGAAAGCAACACGAACTATGCTAGAAAGAAAGAAGACATCATAGACTAAATAAACGATAGTGATGTTATGAAGAAGCCAGAAAGAAATGAAAGCTTTGGATTGCTTTGTTCGGGTTGTTAAAGCAACCTACTTCAAAAACATGCTAATCGAACTTAAACACTAAGTTATTATAACACCCAGCCCCAAAGTAAGCCTAACCCAACCTAACTCTAAAATAAACCAGTCCAAAAGCGTGCCAACCCAACTGAAAGCAATTAGTTCATAAAGTAAACCCAGCTCTAAAGTAAGCCCAACGCAACTTAACGTAACTCCAAAAGCATGCCAACCCAACTCAAAACAATTTATTCACAAAGTAAACTCAGCTCCAAAGTAAGCCAAGCTATCTCCAAAGTATACCAAACCAAAAGCATGCCAACCCAACTCAAAACAACTTATTCACAAAGTTAACCCAGTTCCAAATAAGCCCAACCCAACCTAAATTTAACGCAACCCAACCTAACTGCAAAGCAAACTAAGTCAAAAGCATGCTAACCCAACTCGAAGCAATTTATTTAAATAGAAAACTAACTCCAAATAAAGCCAAGCCTACCTAACTCTAATCTACCAAAGTCCAAAGCAAACCAACTTCAAATAAAGCTAACCACAAAGTAGCCAAACCTTGAAGGAAGTCAACCTAGTGGCAAGCTAACAAATGTCAACCTAGTACAAAAAATAAACTATAACCCAACTACAAGGTAACCCAACTTTAAAGTAAGCCATAGCCATGTTAAAACTGATTCGATCCCAAAACTAAAACAATCTTAAATCAACTCATCAACAAAGCAACCCAACTTCATTGTAACACATCTACAAAATATATCAATCCCATCACAAACATAGATTATCACATGATTGAGACATGATTATTCTTAAAGTTACCACCTGCAAAGCAAGCTAACATAACCACAAAATAACAGGATAAATAATGATGATGGATAAATAAATTGTTGATCAAGTATCTCAAACATACATGTACATACCTGTATATCTGAGATGAAGAAATAATTAATATTGAATAATATGTTGATCACTATGATGTATTAACACTTAACTGGCTGTATATGCATATATAGATGGGTTGTGTACAGTGCGCGGCAAAATTATGGAACATATTCAATAAAAATATGTCAAAATAGAAAGAAAAAAATAGGAGTCAAAAATAACGTTTAAAATAAATAGAATTCACTTTATGTGAAAAAAAAAATTTAACCAGAATATATATTAATATAGGATTCGTTTTTTTTATTGAATTATATTATTGTGATTATTTTTTTAAATTCTTTTATTATTATTACGAAGTAAATTACAAACATGGCACCTTTAGGGCGCCGCTTTTTGTACAGCTATGATATATTTATATATATTTATATCAATATACAAGAATTCCTAATTTCTAAAATATTATTTTTATTTATTTATTTTTTTAAAGAACGAATTTTTTTTGTTAAAATGTAAGGTTTGCTTTTATTTTTCACTAACTGCGTTTTATTTAAAATTATTTAATTTATTATTTTCGAAAAAATGGTCTACACATTGATTGTTTTCTGTTACTATTAGTATAGAGATATTAACGGTTACTCGTCCTGCGAAAAAAATCATGATCTTTTTGTCTTTCGCTATTCTTAATCCTAATTATGTAAATTAAACACCTAAAGCATTTTTCTCCGATAGACTACTATCCGCACTGTATCAAAAATATAAAATTATCTTAGAAAGATGTACTTTTAAAAAGTAGAGAAATTTTTGTTTTTCGTAGGACGAGTTTCTTTTTTTTTTTGCCTTTGTTGAAAAAATTTTTCCAATTCAATTTTAATATAGATATAGAGAGTATCAGTTGTATTGTTATCAGTAGAATGTTAAACATTGACATATTTTGTAAATTACATATTGTTTATACAATATAAAATGTTATTTTATTTCTTTTTGTTTATATTAAAAAACTCGGCCATAATTTTGATGAATCACTTTATAAGCAAATATCAAAGTTTTGATATATAATGGTGTAAGTATAATAATAATTCATGATCTTGCTCAAAAGTTTCATTTATAGTTCTCTAGAGAGATAGACACCGAGATCGTGCTGCATCGAATGTCTTTTGGATGCAATATGTGTTGAAAGTCGAAATTGTAGCGCCTCAGCTTCAAACTTTACATTTAAGACAACTATCTTTTGGGGATAATATAATAAACAACTGGATGTGGAACTTGAACTGAGAAAATTGTTGTTATTTTGTATTAGGTTGTTGATTATTTTTATTGAACTAAACCTAGAACTAATATTATCATTAGAACTAACACTAGACTTAGAACTAGAAAGTTTCAGGTTTCAAACCCGAATATTTCTAGTTCTAGGTCTAGTGTTAGTTTTAATGATAGTTTAAGTGTTAATTCTACCATTAAAACTTTACTAACACCAGCACTATCACCAGAACTAATTAGACCTAGAACTAGAAGCATTTGGGTATAGCCGTCTTATAAGACGAATGGCTAAACCCGAATGTTTCTAGTTCTAGGTCTAGTGTTAGTTCTAATGATAACAGAAGTGTTAAATCTAGCAATTAGAACTAACACCAGCACTATCACTAGAACTAATTAGACCTAGAACTAGAAACATTCAGGTTTAGCCGTCTTTAGAGACGTGCGGCTAAACCTGAATGCTTCTAGTTCTAGGTCTAGTGTTAGTTTTAATAGTGTTAATTCTAGCATTAAAACTAACTCCAGCACTATCACCAGAACTATTTAGCCCTAGCACTAGAAGCATTCGAGTTTAGCCGTCTTGTAAGACGAATGGGTAAACCCGAATGTTTCTAGTTCTAGGTCTAGTGTTAGTTCCAATGATAGTTCAAGTGTTAATTGTAGCATTAAAACTAACACCAGCACTATCACCAGAACTAATTAGCCCTAGAACTAGAAGTATTCGAGTTTAGCCGTCTTATAAGACGAATGGCTAAACCCGACTGTTTTTAGTTCTAGGTTTAATGTTAGTTTTAGTGATAGTGCTAATTTTTTGTTCTAGTTTTAGTTGTAATTTATATACCAAAAAAATGTATATAGAAAATTTATAACTGAACCTCAATTAATCCCAATAAATTAGATTGTAAATGATATTATGATATAAATAAGTAATTAAGTTGAGATTCATTGAAATGTCAATGTTTTACATTTCCTCTGATAACATATTTATAAGATTCTACTTAAACCAACTAATTTTAAAGAAGCGCTTTTAAATTTTATTTTTGGAGGTAATACATTTAGAAAAGATTAAATCAAAAAGGAACACCGCACCAAAGTGATAGTTTAATATCATTTTCATAACGAATTATTATTTTTAATAAACTATCAATTTGATTTATTATTATTATGAGAAACTATAAATCAGCCTTCGCGTTTATCGTATCATTTAAAAACCTATCATTTAAAAGTCTATCAATTTATAAATCTATTATTTATAAACATATCTTTTATAAACTTATTAAATATAAAGTAGTTTTTGTGTACAATCTTACCAAAAAAAAATTAATCGTATTATGATAAACGTAATAATAAGCAAAAAGCGCGCGCAAAAAATTAAAAAAAAATTATTTTTTTTCAAGTTATTATTTATTTACTACTGTGGTAAAAAATAATAAAATCGAGAGTTACATTTAATATACATAACGAGAAATATTTATATAATATATATAGGGTTTTTTTAATGCTACTGCTTTCTTTTTTGTCGTTTTAAACTAACATGCATTCAGTAATGTTTACATATACATAGAATAGATCATCGCATATCCATAAATTATTAACGTAATATACAGCCGTGGATCCACATTAAGAGAGAGAGATAGAGAGAAAGATAGAGAGAGAGAGAGAGCGATATATTTATATATATTTATATTATACTTTTTTTTCTATACACAAAACAATATTTTATAATATAGGCATACAATTTTCTTTCAATAGATATGTGTAAAAAAATAAAATGGAAATGTGGGAAAATGTGTTATTATTATTATATTAAAATGTACAATTTTATTGAATGTGATACTTAAATGTGTTACTTGAATGTGTTACTTGATATTTAGGGTTATTAAGTAATTAAATAAATACGATTTGATTTTTTTTACACATATAAATTGATAGAAACGACAACACTACACTAACAAAAAGTAGTTTTGCGTACGACGTTTAAAAACGAGTGATCCCCCGCCCAGCTACCCAGAGGGTGATTCAAAACCCCCAAAATAATTAAATTACTCTATAAATAGCCAGATCGCTCAAATTTAGAATATATAGTTTACACAATTTTTTTTATTCTCATCGTTCCTTCTTACTTTTTTTTTTTAAATCTTATTACACAATAATTATATATGTATGTATTTCCAAACGGCTTAATTTTACAAAGGTACTTTACACGTGTAATATACAGTTTAACCAAATATGAATTTACACTTTACAGCATCTTTTAAAATTATTTTTAAATCGTTTTTATTTTTTTTTATTAAGGTTTAACTTTACATCAGTCTCAGGCCACGCTTTCACCAATTGCATATATTGGCAGTTCCATTTTTTTTAGTTAGTATTTTTTCTTTCACGATTAACTCCCCACGTTTAAATTAAATTTTTTGTTGATTAATTTAATTAATAAATTAAGCGAAAATAATTTTTTTTTTAAATACAAATCGTCGGGTTATTATAAAAATATTCATCTTTATACAATTTAATTAATAAAGCTTCGTCATTAAAAATATACAAATAAATACAGGACTCCTCTTTTTTTTTGTTAAAAATATCTATATATATATATAATTACAATTAGTACCATTTGAATTCGGATACCTTCTTTTATTTAATCAGCTCGAATAGATTTTTTTTACACGTTCAAACCATACCCCATTTTTGTTGTTTATCACATTTAATTTGAGAATAAATTAACTATTATAAAACATATGTTACAAGCTGAATTAAAACTAAAACTAACACTTGTTACTATCACTAGAATTAAGAATTAGACTTAGAACTTGAAACTTTTGGGTTATATTAAAGTGTTTGATATTTTGGATGCTTTATTGTAATAATTAGCAATTCAAGTTTTAGTTTTAACTAAGATTAGAGTTAACACTAGACCTAACATTAGACCTAGTACTAGAACGTACGCTACACCTAGTATTAGAAAGATTCGGGTTTAGCCGTCAAAAACGACGTACGGCTAAACCCGAATGTTTTTAGTTCTAGGTGTAATGATAGTTCTAGTGATAGTGTTAGTTCTAAATTTAGTTGTTATTCAGCGCTAGGTTGTTGAATATTATTATTGATCTAAAACTAGAACAAATACCATCATTAGTTAGTTCTAATGATAAGACAAGTATTAATTCTAGCTATTAGAATTAACACTAGCACTATCACTAGAACTAATTAGACTTAGAACTAGAATTATTCGGGTTTAGCCGTTTTTTAAGACGAACAGTTAAACACGAATGATTCTAGTTCTAGGTCTAGTTCTAATTTTAATCCAAGTGTTAATTCTAGCTATTAGAATCAACACTAACTCTATTACCAGAACTAATTAGACCTAAAACTAGAATCCTTCGCCTTTAGCCGTCTTTTAAGACGAACGGCTAAACCCGATAGATTCTAGTTCTAGATTTAATGTTGCTTCTAGTTTTAGTTGTTATTCAGCCCAAGGTTGCATATTTTTATTGAACTAAAATTAGAACTAACACTATATTTCTATTTCTACGACTAGTGTTAGTTCTAATTTTAATTCAAGTGTTAATTCTACCAATTAGAACCAACACAAACACTATCACCAGAACTAATTAGACCTAAAACTAGAATCATTCGGGTTTAGCCGTCTTTTAAGGCTCACAGCTAAACCTGAATGATTCTAGTTCTAAGTTATTAAAAAAATATTGTACATTTTATATATTTTAGAATCTGAAACGTCAAACACTTTAACTTAACTCGAAAATTTCTAATTTTAAATCTAAATCTTACTTCTAGTGTTAGTTCTAGTTTTAATTCAATTAACATCGGCCATGAAAGCCTTAGTACTTATATGTTACAAGCTATTTACACACAATAATTTTACATAAGTCACATAAAGTTTATGGTGATTACTTTTTCCCTCATTTAAATCGAAATTGTTAATCTTTTTGTATTTAAACCCCGATTTGTATTTAAAAAAAAATTAAAATCGATTAAATTATCTTTTGATTTCTTTGTAATCCTAAAAAATAATTTGTTATTATCCTTATTGTACATAATCTTATTTTATTTGCTTTATATTTTAGTGGGGAGTTACGATGGTATCCAATAAAACCCCATAGTGATCCCTAATAAGTGTACAATGCTACCGTTGTGTGGCTGTTTGGAAATGTTAACGAAACTATATTACATATAATACAAAAAACGGGACCCTATGTACACAATACCGGATAATAATAGCTTATATTCCAAAAAAAAACAAAGTGATAAAAAAATTTTAAACCCCTCATTTTATGTCTTTTCATACACAACCAAATTTATTCCCTAAATCAATCATCAAATATGAACCGACATAAAACTTTTAATTTCTTCATCTCATAATTTAATTTTTTTGTCACAGCTAAATTGGTTAATATAATAAATGCAAGTGCGTGTAATGTGTAATGTGTTAAATTCAGGGTGATTAAATTTTTAAATTTTTACACCAAGTTTCGTTACGATGAAATATAATCAATTTTGGATGATAAATCAAAAAAAAAAGTTTTCAATTAATTGTTTTTGTTCGAAAATACAAAAAGTTTATTATTACAATTATTTTTACACGTTAATTTTTCAAAAGTATTTACATCGATTTTACAAAATCCTTAAATAAATATACAAGCTTATTTACTTTAACTTGGTGTGATTGTACAACGAAAAATTTAAAAAGGTTTAAATCCCCCGAAATTATTAGTCGCGATAGTTTCAGTGTTATTAAATTACATCGAAAAATGAACATCGAGAGAGTGAATTTAATTTAATCGAAATCAAAAACGTGGAGTTTACGCAAATAACTGTACATTTACATTTACATTTTACAATTTCTCAAAAACTACACTTTATATATATGTATATGATGTATTTTTTTTGTATATTATATCGTTTAAGATCGTGCTTGGAAAATAAACTAAATAAATGAGAAAAAACGTTTTTAAAAATAAATGGTTTGATTAAAATTTATCAAAAGTAATTAATCTTTTTATTTTATTTTCATTGAATTGTATCAATTTGTAATTGTAAACGTTACTAAATGAATGTTGTAGCAAGTAGACCTAAAGTTGGATTATTTAAAGATATCTCGATTGGGAAATTAAGGATGATTAAGGATAATAAAGAAATGGAAATAAATAGGAATTAAGGACTTACCTTGATTGACATGGTAGGTGTAAAAGCGGTTTTGGAAGAGATGGGGGAACATTTGGATGGAAACAACAATGAGGTTATCTTTCCAACTCTGATAACTCATCGCATTGGAGCCAATGTTGGGGTCTACTCACAGATTTTTTAAGCCCTTTGAAAGAAAAGTGAAGTTAGAGTATGAAACTTTAAGATTTGAAATAGATTTCTTCTAAAAATAAATTGACAAACCTGAATTAATCTTTCATATTATCATATTATTGGGAGTTTTAATAACTTTGAAGTTCTTCTAGCAATTTGTTTTTAATCCATAAAAATCATAATATATCATTAATCTTCTTTTATATCCAACATTCTATGTGTATGATTTTTGGAACATTTTTTTCAATCTATCTGAGTAATATTTGAGATCAATTTCTTTCACTTCTTCTTCATCTTCCTTTAGAGGTGGTTTATGAAGTGATGTAGATTTAGATTCTACATTTGTTTCTTCAAAAATCAATTTTCTCGCTTTTTCCTACATCTTCACCATCGCGGAGCTATCTTAGCATGATATATACTTTTCCTCTGATTGTATTTAATTCATATATAAAAAAATCTTCATTACATGATTCTTTGGACATTGCTAGGAGTTAAGCTTCATTTTCCTTCGTAGTTTCACTACCTCCATTAATCATTTTTGTTGCTTCATGATGATAAACACTTTTGTCTATTCCTTGTGGACTACTTGTGGATTTGTTGAAGTCTTGCTATTTCTTCCGCATCATCATCTTCATCAAAAAACCCATTTTCTTGGTTCCTTCTCAACATGATGTATATCGTTTTTCAGTTATATTGATGTTATATATACAAAAAATCGCCACAATATGATGTTTTAACTGTTTCTTGACTTCACTTTATAGTTTTACAACCTCCATTAATCATTATAGTTACTTCAAGATAACATTTCTTCCAATTTCTTCGCCTTGATCTTCACCTAAACATATTTCTCGAAATGCTGCTGTAAATTGAGGTTCGCCATCTTCTGCAATCACCAGCTTTTCGTCATCTTTTCCACCTTTATCAATTCTTCTACATCCTCAACATCTTATTCAATCACCATAGCAACCTCAATATGATATATATATTTTTTAGTTCTATTGATGTTATATACATATAAAAGAAAATCTCCACAATATGATGTTTCAAGTATTTCTGGACTTCACTTTGTTGTTTTACAACCTCCATTAATCATTATAGTTGCTTCAAGATGACATTTTTTCAAATTTCTTCACCTAAAGATATTTTTCGAAATATGCTGTAGATTGAGATTGGTCTTTTTTTCCACCATTATCAATTCTTCTACATCTTCTTCAATCATCATAGCAACCTCAATATATATTTTTTTCTCCACAATATGATGTTTTAGGCGTTGCTAGACGACGAATCACTTTCTTTTGCAGTTTTATCTGATTTTCCATGGGGAAATTAATTAGTCATTGATGTTTTACAAAAAATTTTAGACATAAATTTTGTCTTAGCAATGTTTAAGAACATAAATATTCTTTTTAAGAACCTCCAAGAATTTCCAAACTTTGCTAAAACAAAATTTATTTACAAACATATTTTTCAAATTAAAATACAAATTGTAATCCTCTAAGAAGACCTTTTTTAAACCTTAACGAAACAAATATATTTCTTTGTACTTTACATGATCATTTTAAATAGATTAATTACTCTTAATAAAATTAAAATAATCAACTCTTATTGTAATAATTTTTAAAAACGTTTTCATCTACGTGTTTTATCCCTAAATTCAAAGTTGTTTTCTTTAAAGAACTATGTACTTTTACGTTCAATATTCTAATAAAGATATAGTGTACTTTTAATTCTCTTTAAAGGGATTATTAATGTGTGTGTAAAATGTTTTTTAATATTTTTTGAAATAATGTAGCCCCACAAAGGCTTAAAAATCGAACTAATCTAATTTCGAAGCGATTTGACTTCTTTGAATGTCTTAAATATTTTAATTATTTTTTTCTTTACTAAAACCTAAATAATTATCTGCTTTCTACCCAACTATTTTTTTTTAATTTTTTGTTATAACCGAATGAAAATGAACGTTTTAATGGTTAAAGGAGAGCGGTTCATCGTAGGTCAAAGGTATATCAAAGGTAAAATTCTTAAATGCAAGAAAGTGTTAAGTAATAAATGCTTCGTTTTATTTTGGATTTGAAACTTTTTCTTTGTTACTTGAATTTTTGTTGAAACTTGTGCTAAAAAATTAATAAAAAGAAAAAGAGTGAAAAAACGCTTTCATTAATTAAATAGTTTTCTCACGTGTTTGTGGATTTTATTATTTTTAGTTTAAATGGTGTTGTTTCTTTCTAAAATGTGAGTGTAAGATGTGCATGTATTTTTCATTATTTTGTTTTAATCGTCTGTATTGTGGTAATAGTAATAGTTAGTTCTCAATGAAGTTCGCTACGAAAATTTTGATTCACAAATGGAAATTCAATGATGTTGTGTTTTTTTCAGATCTATTTCCTGAGGACTATATCACAATATTAAAAACACGCTCTGTCTGAATCAATTGTTTATAATCAAACGTCGGTGGCCGTTTTATTATTTTTAAAATATCTATGTACACAATGATTTTCATTTTTCATTTTTTTGTTTCATGTTTCGCTTGCTCATTTCATTTTCATCAAAGTGGAATCACTTTCTCTCAAATTATTACTTTACCTCTTATTATTTTTTGACGCGATGACGGAACTAAAGAGATTCACTTGGTCAAGAACACAAAAAAAGTAAATTTACACGAAAAAATCAATCCGTTGATGAAAAATTGTACAAATGAATCATTAATTAATTAATTAACAGTAGTTTTTTATGATAATACACATGCATCCTTTTTTTAAACCATTACTCCAAAAAACGACGTGTTACAACGCGGTCTGTCTTTTGTTTTATGCCATTCAAAATAAGAGAAACTCAAACTTAATTAATACGCAAAAACAAGCTAATTAATTATAAAAAATAAAACTAAACGCTAAATCATTACATTTGTCGCATCGTCATAAAACAAAAGTCAACACCAACCAACGAGTAATTAATTAATAATAATTATGATGGATTGCAATGAAATGTAAAGTACATAAATACAACTATAATACAGAAAAGAAATTATAAAATAAAAATATGTAAGTGTGCATGGATGATACAAAAAAGAACTCACTAAACTCTAATAATCGTAAACCTAATTAATTAAAAAAAAACGTGATAAAATAAAATAAATGAGAAACGGGAAAATAAATGAAAAATTAAAGAAAATACTGGAAAAGTGTGTTTTGCATGATTAATTGATACCAATAGTAATTAAAAAAAATCACACAATTTGGTCAAAACTTGAAACGTAAACGCGGTTTCTCGCTTCTTATTTTTTTTACTTCTTATTCTTCTTGTTGCTACTGCTTCTTTTGTCGTCGTTTAGGAGACGTTTAGAGCACTCCGTTTGTCGGAGGCCCAATTGGTCCCAGCTCCCCTCCGATAGAGCCCATCGACCCCGGCGATTTTATGAAAAACTTTTCCAACTTGGCGATTATGTGTTTTCCGTAGGTGTATTTGCGCAACGAATTTAAATGGGGTCGAATCTTATGCATCAACACCTTCCGTTGTGTCGGTTCGCTCACGTCGATCATCTTTTGAACAACATAATTCGCGTATTGATCCTTCATCATCACATGCAAAGCACTAAAAATTAAATAATAATTAATCAATTATGTAAATAAATAAGCATTTATTTGTCAAGTTTTAATTTCGTTTTTGAAAATGAGTATTAGAGAAATTATTGAATTAATTAACCTCATTTAGAAAATATTGGAAGAATAAAAAGGACTTACTTGTCGTTAAATCCACAAACCTCTTCGATAAGCAGCGCTCTTTCTGCTCTAGTTGCATGAGTGACACACTTCTCTACAACGTTACTTGCGAACTTGTGCTGACTGAGGCCAAGCACCTTTCCACGTACGCTGTTTATTAGTTTAGATTTGTCTTCTGGTTTTCCATGTTCTAAAGCAAAAACATAAATTAATACTCTTAACAATTAAATCTTAATATTATTATTATTATGACTAGTAATTAAAATACAAAGATTTATTAATAAGAAAGTATTTCTTTTTATAATCAGGTCAAACTTTTAAAATTTGATTAACATTCATGTTTAGAACTCTGAATAACTGCTGTTGCAAATGTAAATGCTTCTAGATGACATCAAAATATCTTGAACATGCAAATAGAAAGTGAAATAATCAAAATAATTAATAAGTAGTCGACATATTTGTTATTAAAATTGATATATTTAGATATTGAAGTAGATAAAATGCTTATTCATATTTGCGTGCGCTCTCTTTATTAATATTGAGCTTATCTTATGATAAATATAAAAAAAAACAATTGTGTGAGCCAATTGTTATCAATTTAATTATATGACACCACCGTTATATTGTGAATTATTAATCATATAAAAACATATCAAAACCCAATCTGATCTTAATAAAAAATTGAATTTAGAAATATATATATATATATATATGATTTAAAGTTTTTGTACTTACCAAGAACGTGCTGAATAACGTAGTTACCAAACTGATCCTGAATAAGCTGATCTGTGTGGGCGTGAAGTTCAGCTAAGATTGGGGCCGTTTGTTCGGGAGTGCAATGCTCGAGAATTCGCTGGATTACTCGGCAACCATAAGGGTGGGTTGATAAGGTATAAACTTGCCCAGCGAATGATGCTATTATAAACTGAAATATTCAATTTTTTTTTAATATAAATATATTTCAATATTTTCATGAAAAATTAAAAAAAAAAACCTGCATGTACCAGCATACTGAATCTAATCAACAAAACTTTCTAGTACAAGTGAAACAAACTTTCTGTTTTGAAATCCAATGATAAATACGTTAGTGAGAAATTTAATAATATGTACCTGTAAAGCATTTGGATCAACACATTCAATACATTTCTGCACAACATGATTTCCATTTTGATCCTTGACACATTTTAAAACGTGTCCGTCGAGTTCCCTAACAATTTCCTGTTGTTGTTCGGCTGGAATAGATTCCAAAGCTTTCTGAATAACGCGACACCCGTACATTTGCAAGGCCAGCGGCAAAACGTGCCCGCGCACTTTCTGTGCTAAAGTGGTCTTCTGTTCGGGCGTACCAAATTCAAAGAACTTTTGGATAACGTAATTCCCGAACACGTCCGTCATTAAATTGTAAGCGGCCGATAATATTTCGTTGAAAACCATTTGTTTTTCGGCGGCCGTCGCCCTCTCCAATTTCTGTTGGATAAACCTAGAGCCGTGCTGATCCTGCGAGAACTCTACAATATGATTAGCCAGATCCCTCAATTGCAAATTGGGGAAACGGTTGTTGCGGAAGTCTTCTAATAAGCGAGATCTGCCCTGCGGGCCTTTGTCCAAGCTGTTGGAGACGGCGGCGGTCGTCAGTGAGTTGATCTTATTGAAGATTGAGTTCGTCGAGCCGAACATCGTATTCGCAGAGAGACTACCCGCCGTCACCGAGTTCCGGTATTTCGCCTCCGCTCCCGGCGCTGCCGACAACACCCTCGACGTCACCAAATTTCCCAATTGTAACGGAGCAGCCGTCGGGGGCGGCGTTAAACTCGCTGTTAACGGACTTGGACTTCCTCCCAATCCGTACGATGCCGGCCATTTCGGCCTGTAATCTAACGATGGTGAAAATGCCGATGTGTTTCTATCAAAAGAATCTCTTCTACCAGTTGATGATGTTGTTAATCCAAGACCTAAATATACATAAATAAATAATAATTAAAAAGTGTGAATTATCGAGATGTGATTTTTTTTTAAATATCAAAGTATTTTAGTTGCATAATTTCTTATGCAAAAATGTCAAAAGTATTAACAACTCTACGTTAAAAACGTAAAATATATAATAGAAAATTAATATTTACATTGTTAGTTTTAGTTCAATAACAATTTGTCACTTTTCATGAATATTTATTGAATTAAAAACCCGATACTTTCTGGTTCTAGGTCTAGTGTTAGTTCTAGTTTTAGTTTAACAACAATGTATCAATTTTCTTGAATATCTCTATATTTATTGTACTAAAACTATCATTAGTTCTAATATATGACCTAGAACTAGAAACATTCGGGTTTTACCGAGCGACTTTCAAGACGGGTAATAACCTGAATGTTAATCTAGTCTTCAATAAAATGTAGTATTTAGAAAAAGGTATTCTAACGATAATTTCATAACTATAATATCTAATAAAATCGTAACAGTAATAAAACCTTTAAAGTAAACCAATAAGTAATGTTTTAATGGTAATATTTTAAAGGTAATAGTAGAAGTGGTGGTTTAAAAAATTCTAATTAATGAAATTTTTTCAACCAAATAAACCGCATGGTACGCGATGTTAACTTTCAAAATGCCAGACCGGCTTTTAATTAGGCGAACGCGAGTGTGCGCGAGTTTAAAACAGCAACGGTTAACAGCAAAAAAAATGTTAGTGAACCGAGACCAGACGATTTTTGCCATATTTGATACGCCCACCATGGACGTAAGTAAGCGTAGCGTGAAAAGGAAATTATGAGCGGTAAGTAGTATCAGTGTTAGTAGTAGTTAGAAGTAGATGTAGTGGGTTAAGAGAGTGGTCGTCGAATCTATGCTGTCGTTCGACCAAAAACAGCGTTTGTACACTTTCTAAGTAACCAACAAGAGGTTGGGCGACGTGGCGATTGAGACAAATGGTTCGACTAAACGTTTACACGAGATCTTAAGTCTTAGTTGTTGGAATTACGAACGTAAAACACGCGACATATTACATGATATTGGCGTAAAAACTTTATTACTTGAGCGATAAAACGTGACAACATTCGGTCACACTTTCGATAGGAAATATTTGCCAACAATCTATGACTAAGAAAGAATTTAAATTGTAATCAAAAAATAGTCGTTGGAATTTCTTATTAATTTTAACTTCAAGGAAATCCTTCGAGACAAATAGAATTCTCCGTTAATGATTATTTTTTTATCGGGGGTGAATTGTTTATTTCTCGTTAAGAATTAATTTAATATTGGCCATGGTGTTAATTCGCTATATTAACAAGAGATTCTAAGTAAAGGGTGAAAAAAAAATCAATTAACTTAATGGATTTTGACAAAAACTACTTATTATTATCATTACTTATTCCATTATCTGATATTATTAATTATCTCATTTACTCTCTGGGAATTTGTAACTTAATAAACAATGTAATTATATATTAATTAACTGTACACATTATTACTGAAGGAATCATCAAGATTTTTCTTATTAATTTACGAGTTTCCTCAAACTTTAAATTCTTAATTGTTAACATTAACCATATCATTCCTTACAGCGATTTACAGCAATAGCTCGTTTGCGTAACATAAAATGGCTTTCAAAAGTGGCAAATTTGAAAGTTATCCCGTCAAATAAACACGAATTAATGCATACCAGGTAGTTTATATAAAAGCTTCGTTAGAACGAGTTATTAATGGGGAAATCGTTTTCACTTTGCATATTTTCTGTCATCTATTACACGATTTAGTTATATTTACAAATTATTTAGACAAAAGAATTAATTGTAAGTACGAACGTTTTTATGATTAGTGTTAATTGAAATAAAACTAGAACTAAAACTGGCACTATCACTAGAACTAACCATAAACCGTCTTTCCAGACGGCTAAATCCAAATGCTTCTAGTTCTAGGACTAATTAGTTCTAGTGATAGTACTAGTATTAGTTTAAAAAAGGATTAAAATTTACAATTAAAATAAATAAATAGGTACATTTTATACACAAAAAAATGATGATAATGAGAGTGTAGGATCCATACCTGCGTGTAAAGATGTTGTTGTGGCTGATGAACCAATGTTTCCAAGCGAAGAGCTGCCAAAGGGGGCTGAAGGGGGTGCGTGAAGCGTCGGGAATAAACCTGAACCAACCCCTTGTGCTACACCTGTACATCCCACACACCACAAACAACACAGTTAGTAAAAAAGAACAAAAATGCACATGATATTATTTTACATAAATTAGTCGTATTAAAAAAAAGATGATTTGGTGAAAGTTGGACATTTAACAACTATTCTCATTCAAGTCTATTGTAAATTGTGAAATGTTAAATTATTATTAAAAGTGACCTTTAGTTATTTATAGCATTTGCTTTCGCCGTAAATTGCAAATGATATATACATCTGCTTCTCACTTAACCGTGTCGGCGAAAGATTTTCCATCAAAATACGTAAACATTCGGTGCGGATTTGAAGGTGTTTAGAACCGATGGCTATTTAAAGTCAATTACTGCCAGACGTATAAGATACTTTTCCCGTTAATTGGTTCATAAATTCTGATGAAAAACGAGCAAATCTAAAATAGGTGTGCTAAAACAACTTTTAAATCGATCAAAATGTAACATTGACAATAACTTTCAAATTTTTACCAAAAACTGTAAGAAAAATGTGACGTTTTTTCTTAAATGCGTGAAAAAAAGTGAGAGCCAAATAAGTTCTATTAACAGTTTTTTAAAACAATAACTTTCTAATTTATAGCGTGGTATGAGTCACTGAAACATTAAATTAAAAATCAATGTTGTATAAAATATATATGAATCCTTTTTCATATTAAATCACTACCAACTAAGTAACTATAAATTCTAAGTTTTAAAGAAGAAAACATTAAATTGTTGTTACTTCATTGGATATCAGTCAAACTTTTTGCAAGGTACTAAAAAAGGTGCTTTTTTGTTCAAAGAAACCTAAATTTTGCAACCTGATTGAATTAATTCAGAAATGCTTAGAAACACGGTTGCTCCTGTATTGTAAGGTAACTTGTCCAAATAAAAGCAGAAAATTATCTCTGACCCAAAACTAGATGCTGCTTATAGATGAGTTGATGATACACCTTTAGAGGGTTAGATAAAGCTAAGTAAGTCGAGATACCGGTAATGGAAAACTAGATGCTGGTAAATGACGATTAGATAATGCTTTTAAATGACTACGACCTTGTGATGAAGACTAGATACATCATACAGAAGACCAAATACTGTTGGCAGTAACTAGTTACTACTTGTAGAAGACTATATACTTCCTGCAGAATACCAAATACTGTTGAAAAAGACTAGAACTTCCTACTGAAGACCAAATCCTGTTGGCACAAGACTAGATACTGCTTGTAAAAGACTAAATTTTCTTTCAGATGACTCTTTGGTACAAAGGCCTAACGCAAACATAAACCTTACAGAACAGTTTTTAAACTTAGATTTCATATTTACAATTCATGGAAAAACAAATCGAAATGTTATAAATTTCCCATAAAAAAGAAACATACATTTTTACAAACATAAGATAAACTTAAAAATTGCTCCATGCTCAATTTGTTGCAATCGATAAAATGATATTTACAAAATAAAATACAGTTTAACACAAAAAATAATAATTCAATTTATATACAAAGGTATCAAATGTTTATAATTAACGTATAAATGTATCTTTGTTTCTAAACCAAAACAAAAACCACTTAACGCCGATTATATAACGTTACAAAAGAGCCCGCAAGGTTTTAGCATAAAGAAGTGGACACAACGGTACATTTCTCACGTACGATATGTAGGACGCACCGTTCTTCACGACTCTCTAGGTTACAAATTTATACAGAGAATAACGGTACGGAAGTGAGACGGTGGCATCGAAAGAATTTCAACCTGATTTTAAATTGTGAATGGCTCAAATTACCGCTATTCATTTTATTGCTCATATTTTGTTTCAGATGTGTTTGAAGGATTAGTTACGTAAAACATTTGATAAGTACTTATTTGGCTTTACGTGTTTGAAAGTTATTACTCATTGTACGCTTGAGAATGTTCACTGAAATATTGTTTGGCGTTTTGTTTACAATGACTAATTTTAAATGACATCAGAATTTAATCTTGACCTTCGTGGTTAAAAAAATGTGGAAATTATCTAAAATGATTGAAACATAAATTATACAAAATATAAACCGTACTAGAGTGGTTGCATAAATAATCAGAAAGGAAGACAACATTTTTATCTACAAAGCACACAGATTTAAGGATGAGCGAGTGCCAATTTAAGTTGCACTATATACATGGAATGTTATGAATCTTAATTAGAACGTTATACATATGGAAATGTGAGAGATTTTTTAGAGGTGAATCAAAAATAATGTGCTCACTAATTAAGAGACGGTGTTGCGAGAAGTAAATTAAACATAGGTGTGAAAAATTTAATCAATCATTCATCAGTGATGGTAAATAGGCGCCGTAAATTTATGTCCGCAAATGTTATTAATGATTTGAAATGGGAGCTAGCGTGGCAAAATACGATTACAGCGATTTCAATATACTATCACGCTGTGGCGCGTTTCAACACCTATGTTAATCGGGATTTCTTGTCATAAATACTGAGTTATTCCATTCGTTCTCAACTATTAATAATCTTCTATTCTATCGATTGAAACAAATTTATAACCAAACTTATTTGGAAAATAACAATTTGTTACATTCGATCCTTTCTATTTAATGTCAAAAAGTAAAAGTAATTGTGGCAAACAAAAAAAAACTTTCTATCGAGTAAAAATATTAATTAAATTGATATAGATTGACAAGAGAGAGCTTTACCAACTTCATCGTGTCTATTTATATCAAAGGAATAACTCAGCATTAAATGAGAATTGTGGAGAGTAAGGGAGGTGATTACGTTAATGTGTTAACGACGTTTACTTACCGCTAAGGGTGGTTCCATTGACCGAAGTATTGACGTTAGCGCCGTAGAGACTTTGCGGGGTGCTCGAATAGAGGGAAGCCCCTGCGGGCGTTTGTCGTGACGCTTGCGGTTGGACCAAAACGGGAGCAGGACTGACGAGACGCATCGGGGTGCCATTTCTCATGGCGGCTCCCTGGGCCATAAGTATCGGCGTATTCTGGTCGTAGTATGGGACGATGTAACCACCGGGTACTTGAGGCTGTAGAATTCCCCAAAAACAACCCTTGTTTAGTTTTTTGTACATTTTATTTACATTATATTAGATTTTTAGTTAAGTTAAATAAAGTGAAAATCCACACAAATCACAACTTTTTATGATTTTGTGACTACCCAATCAAATTCTTTGCATCTGATTTAAAATTTATCAAATCTCACATTCAATCTAAATATTCCTTAGTTCATATTATTTGCTTTTAGAAGACAAAAACTTGGTAAAATCTAACTTCTCGATCGCAAGATATTATTTATCATACTCATCGAAGATACATAACATTAGCTGAGGCAGCTTTTTGTAGTAAATTGAAATTTCTGTGAGTTATGAAACCACATGACAATAGAGTCAAAGAGATTATTCAATAGAAACCAAATTGTGGAGTTTCCAATGATATGATACATTTAACGAGAACATACGATTATGTAACGAAATGTACGTGAGTTGTGAATTATACAATATCAAATAACCTATGTTGGATTAAGATTCAATTTGTTTGATTTGTTTATTTACTATATTTACACGAAATATATTTCTTATTACAAATGTACAAAAATAAGAACATTAAAATGAATGTTCGAAGGTATCTTTTTAAAAGAAGTTGTAATGATGTCATTTACTGGACGAATAAAAAACCGGTCTTTCATTTTTAACGAAGCAACTTAACGGTACTTTGGAATTTTAAGGAATGTTTCCAGTAAATTTTCTGTTGTAAATATTCCAACAACTATAAATTACATTCTGTACAGTCGAATCGAAATTTACAAGTTTATACAAACTGTCCGGAGACAGCGTCGATTCGACAATGTTACACATCGAATGATTTAATAGTTAGACGCCGTCGCCAAATATGGTTTTCGAGAATGCGTTATTTATGTATGAGTGTCACGTAAGTATCTCCTACGAGTATAGACAGAAAGAAAGGGACGACATCGTCAAAAACGATAAAAAAGTTAAAAGATGGAAAGACTACTACCTGGACTTGTTGTTGGGCTTCTGTGCCGTTGGGAGTAAGCGGTCTGCGTGCTCCATTACTGGCTCCCTGCTGTATCAAATTAGCCGGAGCCGGGTAGACCCAGGGACCAACCCCGTAATATTGATGGACCCCTGCAGGAATTAAGTATTGCTCCTGCTGCGGGTTCAGCACGTACGGCGTCTGCGGAAAAGCCGCTTGCTGTTGTTGCAAATACTGTTGCTGTTGTTGTAATAACTGCAGTTGAGCGGCGTTATTCGATGCCGCGGCTGCCTGGGTCTGTTGAGAACGGAATAATTGCTGAAAAAGTAATAAAACAATATTAATCAATTTTACTCCTTTAATGAAGCGATTTTGATACTTAAGAAACAGGTAACGAATCCCGCGACAATGTACATAAACGGTGAAGAGTTTTTCTTGTTTGGAGATATCAACGAGACGTGAAAAGACGAACTTTAGAAGTGGTTTTTAAAACGTCGTTATTTCCGGGTTCTTAAACACAGTAACAAAGCAAGTAGCGTTTATTCTGCTACACGAGACAATGACCCTTTTTAACGTAGATGACATAATGTGGCAGTAAAGTATAAAAAGTACAGGTTTAAGTACCTTTTTTATTATCCGAAACAAAAAATAGAAAATTATTTTCTTGGAAAATTTATTTCTAAAAATAGGTGTCGTTAAAAATACTGTTAAAAATATTTTTAAACCTAACTAAAGATAAAAGTAAATGGAGTTGTTATTAATAATTTTATCGATACAATGTAAACGTCACACTCCTGCTGGAACCGTTTTGTACAAATTATCTTTACTTTGTGCTCGCTTTATTACACCACTGTGTATTTCGGCCCATTATAATTATCAGCGCCGGCCTATAAAGGCCATTAATTGAACCCCCCTACCCTTTTCGCCCAAAGCCCAATATTGCGAATTCCACGCATATCAGGTTTGAAACAAAGCATTGAATAATTTATTACGATCACGTCTGTAAAATACGCCAATATGCAAATTGACATAGATTATTTTCAATTTTACTATACGGCAAACAATAAATTGCGGGAAACATTCAAATTCAATTACCAGTTTATGGGGTTTGCGGAAATCGGTGTGATTGTCGGGACGAACAATTCTAAGCAATCCAAACCCATTAAGTGTGTGGAAACAAGAAACAACGACAGATTCATTCCAGTAATTACAACGGCCGGTAATTACAAGATTTCGCAATGATTCTAATCGATTTCCCTTCAAACTAATTTAAGAGTCAGACACGAAACGAAAGAAAGTCCGAGTGGAAAAGTAGCGCTTGTTCGTGAGTTTGGCGCTCAGGAGGTGCCAATTTAAACTCCATCAGAAGTTCGAAAAAGTGGAGCACTCTCTGTGTGTGGGACTTTTCAAAGTCACCCGAAAAAATCGAACATGCCCAAACTTGATTCTTGACTTACATAAATTAGTATTATAAAAAAACCCGTGATGGAGAGACGACGAAGAAAGAGAATAATAGGAATGAGAATAATAAGTAAGTGAATAAATGTTAACATTCCATGCAATCGTTTTCGTTCTTTTTCGACGACCCGGATGAGATATCCAAATTAATTCATCAGTCGGGTGGCCCAGACCGATTAACCGTTTTTGCAAGTATAATTTGCAGCGAAAAAAGTCGGTAAATTCAACTCAAAGAGAAAGAATGCTCAATCTTACTCCTATTGTAGTTCAAAAAAAATAATGAATATTGTATTGCGGTCTTTTTTATCTAGGCTATCGTAAAAACCAAAGATTGATATAACGGGACTTTTTATTTTACTGTTTGTACACAAAATACAAATAATTAGAACAGAAAACCGCAGCGATATCGATGATTTCGTGAGAAGGAGAAAACGCCGCAGTTATTAAAATAATTGTTCCGCATTTAAACTATTTAAAGAGAAATTAATAAAGTGAATTTTAATTTAATTATGATAAATATTTTTTTTACTATGTTTGAAGAAAAAAATGTATTTGATTCATATTAAAAAAGAAAGTATGAAATAACAATGCGCAAAAAACACGTTATTTCTTATTCTAATTTAATAAAATTGATTTTATATTTACACACCAACGATATTGAATGCCCATTACGCGGAAACCTTACTAAAGTGTACGCTTAGAACTTTATCCAATAATGTTTGCAGCTCAATCGATTTAATAATAAATAAATTGTATTACAGTAAAAGAGAAAATATTGTTCTTGTAATAACTTCCATCAACGGTCGTAATCAATCTTCTTTCTTTTGAACTACAAAAAATGTTTAGACGTGTAACTTCGAAAAGGAATAGCGTGATTAGGATTGATGGATGATACTTCTACACAAGTCGATGTGTGAGTGGTAAGTGTCCTTTATCGATTGAACAATTCTTGCATAAATAATGTAGTTCGCATTATCGTGCGATGTACAATACACATGCTGGTAGTTACACGATTACAGTGGTTATGTGGTGATATGTGGGCAGATAGGTGTATCTATCTACCATGATTTGAAAATAACTTGAAAACTTAATAACGGTACAATTTGTCAGTAAAGCTCCGAATAACTCACAATTTATCTAAAACACGAGCTTTTCAAGTGCCGTTACGAACGGTTTACGAGTGGCGTTTTCGATAAAAGGCCCCTAGATAAACTCGAGAAAATCGTGTTACACAAGATCGTGATATAATTTTAGTACGTATGGGAGTAAACTACTTTACGAGTTACGGAAATCTTAAAAGCAATCGTGGTATCGGAATGAAACGAGGAACATTAACAGAAAACGTCATTAACTGTTTCATAAAGATCTTACGGTGTAAACGCATAAACAAAAGTGCATCAAAGAGTAACTGGTGTAATGAGTACATTACATTTCAGAGTACACGTTTTCCCCGTCTATGGTAATTAGGACAAAGCAAAGTAGGGAAAAGTGAGTCACGTCTTTGTAATTAAAAATTCATTAAAAATCACATTGTTAAGCTTAATTATTTCAATTCAGTAAACAAAAAGCGAATACGTCAAAAGCAGTTTGAGTTCATTGAAAGATGAAACGATGTTGTTCGTTACATTGTAAACTACACGAAAATCGATAAGCCAGATGGTACCTGTAATTACAACAGTAATTATTCTACATCCATGGCTAAACTACAATTATCACGCCGATTGTGAATTTAGCAACAGGTAATAGATGGATAGAGTCGAGGAATTGTTGGTGTGTGTCACTAGTAATTATGTAAGAAACGTTGTTACTTATAGACAATTACTTTTGATTAGATTTGAGTAAAATTATCTTTGAGAATTTATATATTAATAGAACTTAATTTAATTTCATTCAATATCATATATATTCATTTTTGCTCGGATAATTAAGAATCTTGTTAATTTAAACAACGGAGTAGATCAAATCAAAACTTAGAAGAGGAACTGAAAGATTCGGAGAATAGTTCTGTTAGGATAGTTAATAGATTACTTAACGAAGGCAACCCCAAGGCCATAAAAGACAAAAAAACAAACATGACTTTAATACAATCCTCATCTTCACTTCCTTAACATGTATTGTAGTGTATTATCCAATTAGTATAGTGCATAAACAATCTGGTTGAAAACATTCATTCCTAAAATGACCCATTTGTGAATGTGTGTATAGTTTGAATTTTTTATATCTAACATGCTATTACACTTGATTGTATTGACAGTATTGATTAACGGCTTGCCTTTACTGAGATGGAAGTGCAGTGCACGGTCAAAACATACTATGGAAATGCAAATGAAACAATTAACAGACATTCAAACGGAATTTTGCAAACTTGCACAACATCGCTTCGTTTCTTCGAGTAATCAAAGCAAAACTGTAAATTCATAAAAACTGTCCAAATAGCTGCATTTTGCGTTACTATTCCTTCTCTTATCAAATATTTGGACACTTCTTCCACAGAGTTCAGTGTTGCTCCTTTATTGGTTAGTACCATTATGATGAGCTTTTATATCTACACAGGAGAGACCTGGATTTGCTGGCATATGCAGATGACTAGAGGATAACTACTGGTATGCCGAAGAAGCAGTGGCACCCTTAAGAAAATGGTTGTCCAGAATACTAGGCTCCTCGATAATGAAAAAAAAATGCTTTTAGTAACGGCCAAAATAGCGTTGAGAAGATATGAAGAAGGAAATAGCAATAAACTACAAAGTTAGATAAGATCACTCAAGAAATAGCAAAATTTTTAATTAACACATCATAAATTGTAAAGGTTACAAAAGAGAAATTGAATTGTAAAATTATATAATAAATATAGTTATCACAAAAAATAATTATAAAATCTGTTATTGTTATTATCTTTGCTAAAATAAGTACTACATAGAAGTAATTAAAGAAATTGAATTGAAACAAATCTGCTTGAACTTTAAACTTACAACATTTACAAGATTACAAGATTACACGTTATTGCGAGAAACATTTGTTAGAATTCTTTGATAAGTGTAGGTTAATACTAAGTTAAATAGAGCGAGATAAATGAAATTGTTATAGGAATAAACAAACCCTTCATTACTTTAAGATGTTGAAGTATTACCAAGAAAAAATTGAAATTTATTTAAATTGAATACAATAAAATCCATAAAGCCGCAATTTCATAAATGATATCCATTACATTGTTAGGTTTTTGTGTATTGCTTCAAGGTAAATCCGTATAATCATAAAATTCATTTCGCTGCCCACGGCATTATCAGTATAATCTAAGACTAATGATACACGGTTTTCGATTAGTTTCCATTGTTGTATTGATCGACCGTAAATGGTTTAGGAATCAAGGCGAAAACGAATTACTATCAGAATTTATTACGGACCTCCACCACCTTCGCATGCATAATGTTAAAATAATAGCGCAATGAACTTTCTCGTTGTACATTGTAATTTACAATACACCATTAACATAGACGAAGAAATTGTGCCAACGGCCGTTTATAGCGGCAACCTTGGTATTATTTTTCGTAGGCCAAATGTATATATCACGCCCACAAAGTTATATGCAAATGCTGTTGTCTGCCTTGGCGATCCAAATATTTTCTATTACGTAACACCACTTCTTCTCGACGAACGTTTACTTTTTCGAAAGCTACACTTCTCTACGTTTTAGACCTCTCACAACACAATCGCTCACTCTTTACAATGTAGACAATTTCAGTTTTCCATTAACGCACTATTACCGGGCTATTAGAAATAGTGGTCAGTTCGTTGCAGGTAATGGACTATTATTGAATTAAACGATCATACTACCACAACAACGTCAAGTCCCGTTAGAACAA